GCCAACGACGGTCCCCCCAAGAAATGCAAGTAGCTACATCTACTGTCCTTCAGGGGATAGATTCACTATACTTCTCATACAGATCAGCTACGTGGTCCTGGCAGATTTGGACTCACCATCCTCCTTCACATGGTAGAAGTGAACTCCATCTCCTGAGTAGGCTTCTCTGAAGGTGCTTGGTAGGTGGCTTGACGGGGCAGATCATAGGCCTTCCAGGTCATGGAAGTGGCCACGATCCATGATCCCATAAGCACATACAGACTCAGAATCTACAGAAAAAAAGGACCCCCGAGATCCAGTTCCCTTCACTGTCCACCTACTGGTGTAATAAAGTATCCTTCTACTTAATTCATCATTACTAAGGTAAGCATTGTCTGGCCACATTTCCTTTTTTGAAATGGCACTATCAATTTAAAAAACAGTAATTACGTATGTTGAACTTCAAGACACAGAAGTTTAAGGAATGACCTTTCACATCTCTCCTTCTTTATATTTTTAAAAATAAGTCTAACGCCAACTAGAGAGATTTATTATCTATTTTATTTGTAAGGTAGGAAACATATCTACATGTGCAAACTAAAAAAAGAAAGAAAGAAAAAAAAATGTCTGTTTTCAGTAGACTACAAGCCTCTTGAGGTTAAGACCTGGCTTTCCACCTGTGTTTCTACAACAGCCAAAGTGAGGACAAAACAAAGACACACACACCTGGAGGGACACATCTGTCTTCCGGGTTCATATACTTTCTTTCCAAAGGACTTTTTGAAAGTAAAAGAAAAGTCTCTGAAACTGGACTAGGCTAAAAATACATCTTTAAGGTTTTCAGATATACCAAAAAGAAAGAACGAGGAACCAGGTGCTGTGGCTCAAGCCCTAATCCCAGCCCTTTGGGAGCCCGAGGCTAGAGAAAATTAGCCGGACATGGTGGGGCACACCTGTAGTTCCAGCTACTCGGAAGGCTGAGGTGGAGGGATCGCATGAGCTCAGCAGGTCGAGGCTGCGGTGGCCATGAGTGTGCCACTGCACTCCAGCCTGGGCGACAAAGTGAGACTCCAACTCAAAAAAAAAAGAAAAAGAAAGAGAAAACAAAAAACCCGCTAGCGCTTTTAAAAGAAAAAGCCAAGGTAAGAAAAGAAGCTTCCTACATGAGTTCACACACTTAATCAAGTGAAGGGTTTTATGTCAGGACAAAAAGGAGGATGGATAAAATAACCTTGGTATTTGCAGCCCGAGTGGAGATGGTAGAAACAGGACTATGGGCTGAAGATCAAACAAAATGAGAACTGGGATGGCCTCTTTCCGGTTCCCCAGAGCTGCCTTTTCTTATCCTTAAGGTTATGAAAGGTTTTTTGACACTAGCTGAACAAACCAGATCCTGTTCCTTCCCTGGGAAAACTTGTTTATACTGTATCTGTTTTTAGACCTCGTAAAAGTTGGTTCTTCCTCATTAGCTTAAATTCTTCCATACTCAGCAAGATCAACAGGAAAGGGGTTTTGAGTCATTGATAACAATGAAAGCAGGGAACTCACCTAAGGCCTTAATAAGCCGACTGCGCTGACAGAGGCAGCGGCAGAGACACAATCTCCAGCTCATGTTTATAGAATAACAGGTTTGAAAGGGCAGGAAAAGATACTGAAATATAGGTAAATTTATTCTGACAGTGACAACAGCATCGTCTCTGATACAATTCATGCCCATCTAAAGATTCATTTTAGAACTGTCAAAGCTTTCAAGCAGAAAATTATTCTCAGTGGCTGAAACTCGGTTAAACAAATTTCACTGTGCAAGGAAAAACAAAGTTACTTTTGGAAGTGTTCTGGGGGGGAAAAAAATCTCAGGCGGGAAACCAGCAAATAACAGTGTCAGCCAAATAGAAAGTGCTCTTCCCATACAAGGGCCCAGGAAAATAGATGATGGCTCAGTGAGTTGCAGGGTAGGAGGAGACGACCTGGACCCCCCCCCCAGGGAGTCAGCTGAACATGTTTTGAACAGGATGATTAAGATTTTCAAGACTACTAAAAAGAAAGACAGAAACAAAAAAAACTCCCGAATGCTTTTAAAAGAAAAAGCCAGGCTAAGCAAAGGTGCTTCCTATGTGAGTTCACACATTTAATCAAGAGAACGTTGATTAATGGTGTCATGTGAATCCACCCTGGCTAAAATGTTGGGTACTTAGGCCGAGTAACAAAGCTGTGTCAATCTGAGCAACAAAATAAATAATGACAATATTGGATACCCATGGAATAAAATATCCAAAAATGCCATGCTGATATAAATATGTAATTAATAAGTAAATACCAAGGGATAGTGAGAGGAGGGACAGATCTTCTTCGCAGTAGAATGCCTCTTAATAAAGCAATAGCAATAGCAAAAACATGGAACCAACCATGCTGCTCATTGAAACTGGACTGGATCAAAAAAAATGTGGTACATATACATGATGGACTATGACGCCGCCATAAAGAAGTACAAAATTATGGAGTTTGCAGCAATTTGGATGGATTTAGAGTTTATACTACTCAGGGATTTATCACAGAAACAAAGGACTGAGTACCACATGTTCTCATTCATAAGCAGGCCCTGAACATTTGCCATAACACTATAAAAAAGGGATTGGCAGTAGTGGGATACTGCTGGGGGTGGGGGAGACATAACATCAATAAGAGTACCTAATCTCAAACCAGGCAAAGTGGGGACCAAACTTAAGCTGTATGATGACTGCTTATATATCTAATCCTGAATTGTACCCCTCGTCTTTAAAATAAAATAAATTATAAAAAATAAATAAATGCAGACAGAATAAGAAAAACTAAAAATCTCTACTAAGCAAACATTATAGTAATAATTGTTATAGGTAAGAATTATTAATGGATCCTTAAATTAGCGGGCAAAATTATAAAAAGTTCTAGTACCTTTGCTAAATAGGTGTTTAGTATTTTTAGAAACACCCCCAAATATCATCCCACAATGCATGCATAAATTACAAATGGACAAACAGTATCTTTACAGGGAAGAAACCTGGCAGGTCCCACTTTAACGGAATGATCCCATTTAACATAAAAAGTCAGACACATGGACACCTTGTGCCCCCTGATCTGATGCACTGAGAAGGGCACACCATCATTTCTGGGGTATTCTTGCCTAAAATATGTAATCTCCATCAAACCATGAGAAAACATCAGAGAAACCAAAAGTGAGAGACAGTCTATAACATAACTGGTCTAAACTTTTCAGAAGTGTCAAGGTCATAAACGACAAAAATTGAGGAATTGTCCCAAGGTCAAGGAGACTAAGGGGGCATGCACTATATCAATGTGAGATCCTGGACTGGATCATGTTCCAGAAAAAGATATTTCTAGGATCTGAAAGAGCAAATAAGGTGTGTAAGATTAATTAAGGGGCAACCCTTTGAGTCCCCTCCCACTGTGGGAGCTTTTCTGTCCTCTTAATAAATCCTGCTTTCTAAAAAAAAAAAATTAAGAGCACCAGACCAATGTTGACTTCCTGTTTTGATAGCCACTAGTATGGTTTAGGTCAGATGTTAACAGTAAGGGAAGATGAGTTAAGAGTATATGAGAACTTAGGTGACATTCTACTAATAGACATTTTACTGCAAAGGAGATCTGTCCTTTAGGTGCAGTGGCTCATGCCTGTAATCCTAATACTTTGAGAGGCCGGGGTGGGAGGATCGGTTGAGGCCAGGAGTTTGAGAACAGCCGGGGCAACATAGCTAGACTCTGTCACTACAAAAAAGTTAAAAAATTAGCCAGGCATGGTGGCACATGCCTGTAGTTGCAGCTACTCAAGACGCCGAGGTGAGAGGATTGCTTGAGCCCTGGAGTTTGAGGCTGCGGTGAGCTAGGATTGTGCCACTGCCCTCCAGCTTGACCCTGACTCTAAAAAAAAAGTATATGGGAACTCCCAATACTACTTTACAACTATTCTGTAAGTCTAAAATTATTGAAAAACAAAAAGTTACAAATAGAATTGGGGTTACTTTGGCTTTATTCAGCGCCAACCAGGGTCATGTGTAATGCAGACATTTCTCAGGTGAGACCTAAGACCCTGATGGAAATTACCAAGAAGAAAGTCAGGAAAGGGGTAATGTAGACCTTGGCCATTCTTACTTCCTAGATACCAGAGGACAATACTTCCCAGGATGAGAGTCTTGTCCCTGCACCCCAGGTATTGCCCATCCTTATCTATAGTCTCAAGGTCAACAGTAGAAATAGCCTCTCATAATGAAAAGGACTCTGCATGCAGCTTGCAGAGAAGACACAATGGAGGGAACCTGGAAAGCCATGAGATTGTGGTCAGGGAGAAATGATCCTAAAAGAATAGAAGAAATTAGGTGGCTGAACTTGGAGAAAAAAACAGCAAGCTAGCTGGACCAAGCTGGGCTTTGCAAAGGAAAAACAGGAGAAAAGTAGGTCTCCTAATCCATCTCGGAGGCTTAATCAGTGTGAGGATAGCTTTCCTCAATAACCTCTTCACTAGATTTTTCAAAACCTAAACCAATATATCAAGCCATTCTGCCTGTTTTTCCCCAACAAAAGAAAGTCATGTCCATAAAAATAAATTATGGATCAAATCCTTTTCCCAGACCTTATAATTCTGAAAAACCTTAATGACACAAAGAAACAAAAATTAGATGCTTATCTGAATATTATCCATTTGATAAACAGAGATAATTCTTACAAATATTATTAGTGCTCAGCTCTTGCCATAAATTTAAATACCTGTGGAGAGAGATGTCAAGAGAAGAGTAATTATACAAAGCTTTATGAAAAGAGGTATAAAGCTTTATGCTCCAACAGGGTTTTCAGCTTAAAATCCTAAGCTGTTCGGCATAATACCAAATGGTTCTGGTATGGCTGTGTCATATCAGATCTCACCTAGCTCTCATAACTGTTTTGTAACCCATGGAATCAGGCTTGAAGCAAATAAGATGTTATCACGTTGAATACAAGCCCACCGCTTCACCATGATGGTTCATACGTACCTCCCACCGCATTACAGCGAGATGTCATTTCCCAGAGCACCAGAGCCATGGAGTAGACATCAGTCTGTTTGAAGGACTCAACATTTTCCAAATTCATCCTAGATTCTAGGACTTCTGGAGCCATGTATCTTGCAGTTCCCACCTACAGCAAAAACAGACAGGCCCAACTTTTAATTTTTAAAAAAATTTTCACGATATAGTTGATGTGTGCCCCCCACCATGTGAGATAATTAAAAAAAAACACATACACAATGTTTTTAAATAATGAGAAATGCACAGAAAAATATAGCATAGATGGTTATTTTTAAAAACAGATCTTCTATCCCTGAAAACCTTCTAAAGACTACAAACAAAGCATGCCAAAATAAGGAAGTGTCAAACCCCAAGCTGCCTTATCTCACCCCCTGACATATGTCATCACAATTTTCAATAACATCCTTACAGATAACCTGAGAGACAACATTTGTGATACTTTTGATGTTTATTTTTGCTTTTGCAAATTAAATATTTTTTCATTCCTGAAACTTCAAGACTTACGGTAAAAATAATAATTGCTATCAGTCTTGACCACTAAAGGACCGAGTCTTAATCTTTTGTTTACTCGATGGCACATTCCAGTGTGCCAAGAATACAGTATAATTTTATAAAATCTCTACTAGATCAAATTATATAAAAGTACTTCCACAGTAAAAAAAAAAATCTGTATCACTTTATAATTTTGATGGGTGTGCGGTGTAGTTTTATTTTGACTTTTAGGCTTGTGCTAATTTCTATGACTGATAGTATGCAAACCTAGGTTCTATAGGAAAATATTTTTAGGGAATGGATCACTTCAATATTTAATGTTCCATATGTATAGACTGACTAAGTGACAATAAAGTCCTACCTTCCCAAGGATTTAAGGAAAGCCAAGTGAGTTGATATTATCACTCCAAGAAACGTTTCTTACTGGCAGGTATTAGAAATTTCTCTTCTTAACAGGTCATTGCATGACTCATTACCCTGGCACATTGGTCCAGCCATGTTTCGGGATGTTTACCTCAACACTTCGTGTGCTGCCATGGACACAGGGCTGACTGGGCAGTAACCAAATGCTTCAGAAAGCGTGTCCCACCACCTGGCAGAGAAAATGGTGCTCTCCACAGGTTCCACTGTGTGAAAACATGGGGCCCGTCATTCATAAGGGACATGGTGATTTCTAATCACTTTCCAACAGTTCTGTAGCCAAAAAGGTTACCATTTTGAGGCACCAGTGAGAGTGCTTCAAAGGTGGAATTGCTCCTTCACTCAACAAGAACTTATTTCACTTTCACTGTTTAAGGCATTGTGCTAGATATCTGGGGTGACCACATGGACATGGGTTTGGACTTGAAGGAGACTGCCTTCTAGAACGGTACAAAGAAACCAATATAACTACCAATAACATGGAGTAGAAAGGACTGAGCACAACCACGAGACAGAAAAAATAGAAATAAAGTACCAGCAGTGCTTGAAGCAAAGAAAAACCACTTGCAAGTGGAAGAGAAGTGAGGAGAAAAATGTCTGTCCTGAGTTGGGAAGGATTTAAAGATAGGAGGAGAAAGCTGCCCATAAGCAAAGGTACCCAGGTAGGAGAGAGCGGAGCATGCCCAAGGCAGACTCCAGACTTTGGCTAGATTCCCTAGACAAGTGTCCAGAGTACACGACTGTCTGAGAGACAAGAGGCAGGAGACACTATGCATCAAGGGGTAGGTTGAGGACAGTTTCAAGGTAAAGGAGTTATAGCACCAATTGTAACCCACCTGCCCGCTGTTAGCCAGGTCATCCACAGACAGGGTAGGGTCCAGACGCAGGGAGAGCCCAAAGTCACACAGGCAGCAGGTCAGGTCATTCTTCACAAGGATATTGGAGCTCTTGAGGTCCCTGTGCACGATGGGCATCTTGGGCCTCCCACATGGGGTGTGGTCACCGTGGAGGTGGGCAATGCCCCGGGCAAGGGAGCTGCCCAGCTTGTGCAGGTCCTCCCAGCTGATGACATGCCGCGTGAGGTACTCCTGCAGGTTGCCCTTGGCGTGGAAGGCTGTGATCAGCCAGTACTGTTTCCCCAACTCTGTCTTCCGCTCCTCGGCCGTCAGGAACTGGAGGATGTTCTCGTGCTTCAGGTTGATGTCTGAGAAGATGTCCTTCTCTGTCTTCCAAGAGGCATACTCCTCATAGGGGAAGATCTTGACTGCCACTGTCTCGAACTGCTCGGAAGTGTTCTGCTTCAGCTTGGCCTTGTAGACCTCAGCAAAGCGACCTTTGCCCACCAGGGTGTCCAGCTCAATGGGCAGCAGCTCTGTGTTGTGGTTGATATTGTTGGCGCATGTGGAGCTGATGTCGGAGCGGTCGTCTTCCAGGATGATGGCACAGCCCTCGCTGAACTCCATCAACTTCCTCGGCTTACTGGATTCCCAGGATGAGCTCAGCTTCTGCTGCCGGTTGACGCGATAGCAGTAGAAGGTGATGATGACAGCTATGGCGATTCCCAGCGGTGGCAAGAGGCTGACGCCTGTCACTTGGAATATGACCAGCAATAAGTCAGGATTACTGGTGTTATAGCCTGATGTAGAAATAAAACAAGAGAGAAAGAGTTGGGTTCAGTAGGTCAGCACTGTCAGGAAGTGGGTCCAGGCCTCAAGCATCTATAGATTTTAGCATCCTCATGGTTTTTGTGGATACCATATTGTGAATTTTCTTCCAGGAAAGCTAGTGCATACTTGTCCAGTCTTCCCTGCTTCTGACCATCCATTCAACCTCTGTCCACACATTCAACATCTCCTACTCTTCCTCCAAACTTCAGCCTAAACGTCACTTCCTAAAGGAAGACTAGGAAAACTTGAGAAAAAGGCTTATTTTAACTATTCTCATAGTACCCTGTACTTTTCCTGTATAGCAATTCAGCACGATTTAAACTATGTAACTATGACTCCACTTCCTGGTTTTGTATCTGTCCTTCTCTACTCTCCCCAGCCCCAACAGTGAGAACGCCATGCTGGCTGGGACCGCGTCTTTCGTCCTCACTTCACATGTAAACCGTGCTTGGTACACAGCAAGGCCCTCAATATCGTTGAGTAGAGACTTGAGAACATAGAAAAAAATGAAACAGCTTCTGCCTTTGAAAAGTTTGATTATCAGTATCTGGTAAAATCCAAAAGATCACTACAGTTCTGCCATAAATCTCCAAGCTCCAACTTGTTCTGCTCTGATCAGCATTCAGGCTACCCTGAAGCATCAGTTGTGGGTCTATGGGTGGCAGGGAGAGGAGTCTGTAGAAAGAGTCTCTTTTGAAGTCAGTTTCCTTACATCCACCTAATATGCCTCTTTGCAGTGCACATGTACAGTTTCATGGAAATGAAATATCCAATAGCAACAATGGAAACCTTGATAAAGTTAAAGATGGAAATGCCACCCGTTTTCTGACTTGGAACACTACAGGCCTCTGTGGGTTGATGAGGACAGTCCTTAGCACCAGCTACCTGACCAGAATGTTTTGTACATCAAGTTCATGTGCTGGCCTTGTTGCCTCTGAAGAAATGGGTTTCCTCTTGGGAAGAAGGACATGAATAGAAACATACAGGAGGCAGTCAAAGGCGGTTATGGTCCAATGAGAGCTTGTGCTGGGCAGCTTCTGGTGGGCAGGCATGCCAGAATTCTATTGCTTTCTTTGTTACTATCTGTTCTCCAAGGTCAATTATTGAGCAGGCCTCATCCTCAGATGCTAAATTCATTCACTAACTATGTCCCGACTGAGTGTCTATGACTGGCACATCACTGCCCTCAAAGTACTACCAGTAGTACTCTGCCGGGTACTACCCAGTAGAGGAGTTAGGACATGAATCAAAATACAAATATGCAGCATCCGAGATGGGAGGCAAATGTGTGCTGCAATGTATGTGTTGATGGAGTGTGAAAAAGCTTAGGCAAACATGGAAAGCGCAGTAGCAAAGACTGTCTTTGAATAAGTCCCTAAGAATGGGGGAAGTCAATGATATGTGGAAGGAATGTTATGGGGAGAGACTACACGATCCATCCAAGCAGAGTAATTCTAACATACTGACCACTCTGCTCTGCATAGAGGAATAGAAAGGAAAAAGTTTGGGTAGGTGTGATGGAAACAGACTTCATTTCAGGGAAGGAGTCTGTGATTACTCAACTGTCAGTTTTCACCTCCTGAAGGTGTTTGAGAAATAAATGAGAAAACAGTCCAAGCAGAATGAGGATGACCACAGTCACTCAAAGAAAAGCCATTACTCAAACAGCATTTGATACCATCACTTAATGAAACACAGCGAGAAAGGAAGTTAGTACATGTCCATCGGGAATGTTCAGGTTTAACATGATTCACTACTCGTTCTTAAGGTAAGTTTAAGTAGAAATGTCAGCTTTCACTGACTATCTCCTAGATGAAATCTCAGCTTGTAAGTCTATGGATGCCACTAAAAACTGGAAAAGTAATCCCAAAATATCAGAATTCCAGCAACCAAGAGAAAAAAAAAACACACACACCATTTTGGGGAAAGATTCATTAATGCATTTTTAAAATATAGGGAAAGAGATAAAACTTTGATAACTGACCCTTAAAAATGCAAACTATTACACTGGGAGGCTTGGATTGGGACAGAGGACAGGCAGGACTAGGGGTAGGAGTGGTAGTTGGACAAAGCAATTATAGAAAGATTCAAATGCAAAAGAAAAAAAAATGTTCTTAAGGAGATGGATGAACTATCCCTGTTGTCCAGCAAAGCATGAACCTGGACAGCAAAATTAAGGGGAGAGATGAAATAAGGTCAAGTACAACAGCAGGTCACCATGTTCCCCCTCTACCTACCTTATCTGAGGTATCCAATAAACAGGCTTGACATGCCCATGTGTTTCAATTCTCCACGTCAGACTACAAAAAAATGTCTTATAATCATAAATTGGTTTGATGATCTGATTGATTGCTTTTCTCACGACAAAGTTGGGTAATGGTCAGTTCTATTTTAAGTAACATGATATACCCAGCACCTGGCACAGAATCGGGGCAGTTTCAGGTACTCAACAAATGTACAAAGTGAATGAATGATAACTTATGTGGAATCATATTCTTCACATTTTTTATGTTCTATGGCAGAATTTGGTAAACTATGGGTCAAGGGTCCATGGTCTGTTTTGTATAGCCTCCCACTTAAGAATATTTTGTTCATTTTTAAGGAGCTATTTAAAAACAAAACAAACTAAGAAGTTAATGCAACAGAGATCATCTCTGGCCCAGAAAGCCTAAAATATTTACTGTCTGGCTATTTGCAGAAAAAGTTTGCTGACCCATCCTATACGTATTGTTTTGTTTCATTTTATTTTATTTTATTTTTATTTTTGTTGAGTCAGACTCTCACTCTGTTGCCCTGGCTGGAGTGCTTCCACCTCAGCCTTCCAAGTAGCTGGAACTACAGGTGTGTGCTATCATGATTTTTTTATTTATCGTAGTGATGAGGTCTCACCAAGTTGCTCAGGCTGGCCTAGAACCTGTGAGCTCAGGCAATCCTCTCGTCACAGCCCTCCAAAGTGCTGGGATTACAGACTTGAGCCACCATGCCCGGTCTACATATTATTTTAATAACCTATAACACATTGGCAGAATTTGGAGAGATTTCACTCTGGTCAAATGTGAATATTTGGTCAGATAGGAATATTTGTTTTCACATATTAAAAAATGCAATTAGAAAATTTTAGATATTAACTGAATACTTAACTGTGTCTCCAATTCACTAAAATGTCCAAATGAACTGTTTACTTATTACTGATAATTCTAGTTCATTTTTCCTAGCCATATATGAAAAAGGTTTTCCTAGCTAACTTTTCAGGCCACAGGAGAAACATAAAAAACAGAAATCCCCTGAAGTTTATGTGTGGCACTGACTGAATATTCTAGAAATCCCCAGTTTTATGTCAGAAAACGAAGTTTTACTTTCCCCTCAAATTTCCTGTGATTTCTTTTTGAAAACCTACATGTAAAAAGTTTGAGGGGAGGCATTATTGAATAACATCTGTCAATCTTGAAACTTCAAAGAGGTGGTGAAAAACCCTAACAATAGCAGAGAAGGCTGGAAGGAAGCCCTGGGATGTGGCTTCATCTAAACAGAAGCCACCCACACACTCTTGCCAAGTATTAACCCTTGGGCTGCTACTAGAAAAACCAAAGGCTGCAGGTGTAGGTACAAGCTAGCAACTCCTTTACTCAGAGACTAGCCCGAAATATTTCTTTTCACCAACCCCCAATTACAGAGAAACTCACAAACTGAACATTTAGTATGTACCTGACTTTATAGAATATTTAAATGTAATTGACAGAAAAATCCTATGAGGTAGAAACTGTTATGACTATAAACCCCATTTTACAGATAGGAAAGCCAACTATCAGACAGTTTAAGTAATTTCCCAAGATCATAAATTTAGGCAAGAGCAAAGCTGATATTTGAAATGACCTTTGCCTGACTGAAGAGACCCTGGATCTTGGCTCCCTGCCTGATTACCTAAACTACACATTGATGAGAGAATGATTTCATATAAGCTCTCAATTTGATAACATGGTCTTTTTGGGAGGCTGAACTAAGTGATTTTATAGCCATCCACTGAGTGATATTGGCAATTATTGGATAATACGTTTAAAGTCTAAAGGAGTATATTCTGGGTGTGGAAATTATTTCCCTTGGTTCTTCACTAAGAACCTAAGAACCATAGTTTAGTAGTGTCCCTAAATATGCATCTTTTTTTTCTGCCTGGAAAGAAAAAGTTTTACATGAGGGAGAATTCAAAAATCTTCTTTTATTTTGAGTAGGAGTCTCACTCTATCACCCAGGTTAGAGTGCAATGGCACTCTCACCCCAGCCTCGACCTGCTGGACTCAGGCAATGCTTCCGCCTCAGCCTTCCAAGTAGCTGGAACTACAGGCATATGCTACCACGCCCAGCTAACTTTATTATTATTATTATTTATTGAAGAGATGAGGTCTTGCCAAGTTGCCCAGGCTGGTCTCGAACCTCTGAACTCAGGCAATTCTCTCATCTTGGCCTCCCAAAGTGCTGGGATTACAGGCTTGTGCCACCACACCCGGCCATAAAAATCTTTATCTTTCTTTTCTCAAAGCCAGTTTCAGGACCTAGAACATAGTGGGGGCTCAAGACATAATTGCTGACCTACTGGAAACTTCCATGAATAGTAGTATCATCAAACTAGATATAGCTCCGAAAGGCATTTCAAATAAGGGTGGAATGTCTCTAAAGTTCATAAAAATAAGGTTCTATGCTATAATAATAAAAAATGCCCTTAGCCTGGGCTTTATAAATAGAATTCAGTGGTTTTGTGGGTTTAAATATGTAAAAATTGCACCTCTTTGTTTTCTCTAACCCTTAATTAAAAATCAGCATTTCCTAGTATTAGCTGTACCTATGACTTTGTCACCAGTAGAAACCATAGATTTTATCATACCATCTTATGTTTGTTGCAGATGTCTGAGCATATGACTTATAGTCATGACTTAGACATTTCGATTTTTTCAGATCTGCTAGATCTTGTTATTTA